TTTCAACTTTGTCACTTATCAAGTCAAGTGATGTGAGTTAAGATTGAAATACATGAGATTTTATATTATGTTGGCCTCTTTATTTTATTAGGCATATGCAAATAAACACTCTTTTATTAATGCACTTATTGAACGGTGGAAATTAATGATACATACACTTTATCTATCTTGTGAAGAACGTGCAATCCCATTAGAATGTGTTGTTATCTTACTTGGACTCCACATCAATAGTCTATCGATGATTAATTCCACTATTCCTAGTAATGTAACACTTCAAAATAAGTTTCAAAAGTTACTAGGCAACAAACATGCATCAAATAATATAAGCGATTCATAAATAAGATTAAAGTGATCAACACAAAGATTTTTAGATGTCTCTTTGTTTTATTAAGTTGAGTCATGACATCTCTAGAGAAAATGTGTTTAGCCTTTTTTTTACATATGTCTTACTCATTTTTTGTGCAAATAACTTAGTCAATAAAAAATAAGTTGCTTTAACTAGTGCTGTGATTGGAAGATTGTGATTTTCCTTTAACACTAAAGCAATGTACTTTATCAGATTTGTTGTCATATGAGCAGATGACACCTATTTTCATATGATTGAACTTACTTTTCTCAAGAAATTTTATTAAGTTAGTTTGTATATACTTGTCTATATTTTGGTATTTGATTATAACGAATATTAAATTTATGCTCTATTTTTGAAAAACTCACAAACACAAGACCATTCATATATTGTTTTCTAAAATACATTTTTTGCAAAAAAATAAAGAAAGAATATTTTCAAGTGCAATGAAAACGTGAAATACCCACGTGGACAAGAAGTTTATGCAAGTATGGAGAGCCTTGAATCAGAGTAAAAAATTGGCTACAATAATTTTTATGCAATACATGTGAAATGCTTTTAGGGCCTCTCACCATCCATTGTTTTGCCTTATCGCTGCATTCATTGATTTGTAACGATAAAAAATAATGCTAATGTCATCTTGAGTCATAATATGTTTGCGTGATTTTTTTTTAAATGTCAAGTATCAATAATCCCACCCTTAATAATAATAATAATAATAATAAAAGCAACTAACAATATATTATAATATTCATTTTATGCAACGACCACAAAAAAACTTATTTATATTTACTATATAAATATGTTCCATCAACAAGCATAAGTGATTTGCAATGTCTAAATGCTTTAATATACTGATTAAAACTATAAAATACTCAATATAATATATGAACATAGGAACCATCTCATCATTACAATATGTCACTATAACATCTAATTGAATAACTGATTCTTAAACAACTTGCTAAATACTTTTTCAATGCTATGAATAAGGAGGACTTTAGTTTATACAAATGAAGATTCGAAAAATACTAATGACACTCTTTGAATAAAAAAAATTATATCTTTTAAGCATAAAAAATTACATTAATGTTTTTCCTGGGGATAAATTTTTTTTGTAGTAGTAAAAATTTACCTTCAGCATATTTTGGACCACAAATATATATATATATATATATATATATATATATTAGGCATATAAAAATTATATTAGTGTTTCTGGGATCCAACTAATTTTCTGCAACTAAAAAATGTCATTGACAATTAAAAAAAAAAACACTATCCTCATATTTCAGCTCCAAATTCTCATTTTTTGGGTAATTATTAAAACTTTTTCCGTATAAAGAAAGCATCTCATTAATTCATGCATTTCTTTAATTTCTTCCTTATTCATAAAAAAATTACATAAAAATGATATATGAATATAATTTCTTATTGAGAAATCGAGGAACCCAGGTCGAGTTAATTTGTTTTAGCAAGGCTAATTTCTTTCTTTCTTTGTGTTTTAGTTTTTGATAAATGTTTGTATAGATAAACATGTGACACTGACATTGCGAGAATTTGACAATAAAGATATAAATTTTTTTATTTGCTTATCAAATGTACGAAACAATATTTTAAATTAATGTAAAAAATTAAGATATAAGAAGCGAAATTGGGTTCTAACTTGGGAATGGGGTCTTGAGGGGGAAACATATGTAAATGTTTGGGTGGATCAATCCTAAGTCAATCCATTAGCCAACCTAACCCGTGATTTGTGCATCTCTTTCAATTGGGTTTGACTCGGTTGTTGGGTCGACATAACCTAATGAACTGCGTTATTTAATCCATCTTTTACATTTTTTTTAATTTAAGTTTAATATATTATTAGTGTAATTTTTTTACATTATTGATACATTCTAATACTCTGTGAATATACTTTTTATATTAATTATTACAAAATTAATATTTTTTGTTGATGTGGCAATTTATAATTAAGTAACAGTATAAACAACCTTTACAATATTATTATATTTAAATTAAATTCATAATTTTTTTTATATAAACATAAATAACATTCGCGATTAATTTAATTACTTCAGTTTTACCATATTTTTCTTCCCATAGTATCTTATTTTCTTTTCCCGATCTCGATTTTATTTATTTTACCCTGAGCTTTATTTTTCCTATCACTTTTTCCCTTTTTTTTTATCCTTGTCAATCTTTTAAATTTATTTTAATAATTTAATTTTACTTTGAATTATTAAACTAATTAAGGTATATGTTTAAATTAATTTCAATAATGAATTTTATGCTAAAATATGAGTCCGAGTGAGAGAAATTGATGTTAAGTATTTTTCAAACAGACTCTTGATAATTCTATTCGTTCTGAAAATAATTACAATATATTCTTTCGTTTGATTATGTAATATATTTTATTATATTACTCCCTGAAATATAAGCATTAATTGGGAAAAAAAAATCATATCAAATCAACAAGCTTTCACGTATGTTTTCTTGTGTGGATCTTTTTCTCATCCTTGTTCTATAATTTTGTGAATTCAAGAGTTCTAGTGATGCTATAACTTTACTTTCTTATTACCTTTAACGTGTGTTCTTGTCGCTGTTATAGAAACTGGACCCAACTGAAAGTTTTGATTGGAAACAGATTGTTACTCGTTCGAACTATTTATGAAATTGAAGAAGTAAAAATTAGCCAAATCAATCACGACCCCGATTAAGGTGCAAAATATTGATTTGACCAACATTTTTAGAAAAAAAAAAAAGATTTGTTTCTCAAGGTTTTTAACATTTTTACTATAAGATAATTTTAAAAATGGTTCATATATAAAATCTAATAAAATATGTAATATGGTCCTTTTATATATACTTTTTAACAATTCATTCAATATCAATTCCACAACAATTGAGTCAATGAACCGTGACCAATAGTTTTACTGATTTAATGATGAATCCAATTTTAAAAATATTGAATTTATTATTATTACTATTTTACTTCCAATCCAATTACTACTTACTATTTGTGGCAGCATGAATTGATGCCACCCAATAGCAGCTGATGTGGTTCACAAGCACATCCTCATGAAGCAGCCATCACACTCAAGATGCGGTTACATTAAATGATGCCTACAAATTAAAATCATAGTAGCATGTAAACGTAGCTGCATTTTATATCAGAACAAAGCTATTCTTTGAACAAGAGAAACTCTTAGTTTATAAAGCATGCTGAGATTGTGGGGAAAGTGAAAGGATTTGCTGGTGTTAGTGAAAGAATGAAGCACGCGCTCATGATGTAGAGCAGAAGAGAATGTGAATAATATATTCCAAGAAACAATATAAAACCCATGCATCCTCGTATTAAAAATTGAAGGACTAGAGATAATGAGAAATTATGGTTCCATTATACAAGTATTATGGAATGTATTAGTTGCCTTGTTTCTTGGGTTTGCACGTTTCCAAACACCTGTAACCTTTTTAATAATCATATTATACTATATAAGTTGGCTAGCATATTGTGGTGTACTAATTTTATATGGGTTGAACAAGGATACTTCATGCACCAAGTTATGAAGATAATTTTTCAAGTACTTATCTGTTTATGGGAAACATATATGATGATTGGGATCATCTTGCAGTTATTCCACTCTAAGTAATGATGTTAACTTGAACTTTTCCCAATCCTATTTGACTTTTCATTCTTCAAAGAAAATTCCTCCCTTGTTGATTAATTAAGGGTACCCATAAAAGCTATTTTCGTTTTCTTTAGTACCTTTGAATCTAGATGTTGTCTCAATACAACCATGCATTGTTTTTTTTTTTATATATATGTATATTGCAAGGTGAAAAGAGTAAATTAAAGTTCCTATCTTTACGGCCAGTTATATATAGTAATTAAATGTGCCACTGTCATCATATTGAACTTTGGTAAAACTCGATGACTAACGAATATTGTTTTCATTTTCAGCGACCCTTAAAACAGGCCAAACAAACGGTTATTCACTGTTTGTTCGTTTATAGAAGTGTTGAATTGATCGTATTGATCACAAACCTTGAGGAAGCTAAACTACCACCTAGATTTTGACAGTATATATAGGGCTTGTGTTTTTTAGAAGTCATATGATTCTTTTCTAACAAAACTGATATTGATACACAGGTACCTTAATATTAGTAGTTAATTTAGAAAATGGAAAATTAATTAGCATTAAAAAATTTGATAAAATATGAAAAAGCAGTGAAGTGAAAAAATTGCTTAACTTACACGTAAAAATAAAAAAATGGGGTGTATTGAAGAAAGGATGTAAAAGAGAGCGTGTGGAATGAATGGGGACCCAAACAGAGGAGAGTAATGAAGAAATGGTGGCAATGTAGGGAAAGAAAGTAAACACCGAAAAGAGAGAAGAGAGGGAGTTCTCCTAAAACCTGAGCGCATTTAATTCTCTTCATTCAAAAAAATAAATTCCATTTGGCTAACCCATCCATTACATTACATTACATTCAAGCCATAATAAACATTTAATTCATTAACCCTCAGTCCTCACTCACCACCCTCACACGTGCCTCTCACGTGTCTCCTTCTCTTCCTCTTCTTCTCCTTCTTCTTCTTCAGACACTTGCATTTCCATGCACAAACACACACACTTCTGTAGAATACCAAATGGCTTCTCCTCCACCCTTAACGCTAAACGTCGTCGGATCAGACACGTTCCCAACAGTTTCAAGTTCGCTGACACCACCTTCTCCTCGCCGTTCCTCTCCGTTACAGAACCTCAGTCCCAGCATTCTCATCATCGTAACGGTCCTTGCCGTCACCGTCATCATCTCCCTCGCACTCTGTTTCCTACTCCGTCACCTCAACCGCCGCTGCCTCCGCCGTTTCTCTTCTACCTCCGCCGCTCCATCCGCCGCCGCCACGCCTATTTTCACCTCCAGCCGCCGAATATCGCCGGAAATCCCTCATTCGTCCACTTCCGTCATTGACTCGCTCCCTCTCTTCACCTTCTCCTCCGTCACGCGCCGTTCCGCCGCCGTCGCCGGGGACTGCGCCGTGTGCCTCTCGAAGTTCCGCCACGACGACCTCCTCCGCCTCCTCCCTCTTTGCTGCCACGCCTTCCACGCGGAATGCATCGACACGTGGCTCCAATCGAACCTCTCGTGCCCGCTCTGTCGCTCCGCCATTGTCGCCGCGGATTCCGACCTCGCCAAGGTTCTCCGACCGCCGTCGTCCGCCGCCGGAAGCAGCGACAGTTTTCGCCTCGAGATAGGGAACATCAGCCGCCGCGGAACCGAAGGCGCCGCCGATGGTGGTGGCGTGCGCGGCGGTTCGAGGTCAAGGTCCTATTCCATTGGATCGTTCGACTATTTGGTGGACGACGAATCGGAGGTTCCGTATAGTCACGCTCGACGGAGGAGCGTGGACGATCATAAAGAGTTCCCGGTGGCGTCGGAGGCTCCCGGGACTCAGCATGAAGCGAGTCTCGCCGGCGAAGTTGCCGGCGTTAGAAGCTGGCTTAAAGATTACATGGATAGGGTTTCGGCTTCTATTTCGTCTCGAACGGCGTCGTTTCGAAGTTCTGGAAGGTTCTTCAGTGGTGGGAGTAGTCGGCGAAGCGACGTCGTTCCGGTCGCTGCGGATTATGACTTGGAAGGTAACCGAATTGGGGAAGAGATCAGCGAGATGTTTCGTTGGCTTTCAGGGGTATGATTGGTAAATAAGATGAACGGTTAGGACAAACTTTAAATTTTGATTATTATTTTTTAAATCATTTGAAATATCCCTTCCTCATTTGGCTTCCCTTCTGCATATTTCCTTCTTTAATTTGTTTTGGGACTTCATAATAACATTTATGTAACTATGAATATTCGGATCATTATTTTTTTTAAGGAACATCATAATACTAAGATCATATTATGAGATGAAAAGATACAAATAATGTTTTTTTCAAATCATATGATCATGTTTGTAAAAGGCGCACCAATTATACACCAAAGGAGTTTGTCTTTTTTTCTTTCTATTTATAATATGATTTTTCTTTTCTTGGTATTTACAGATTCATAAACAGACAACTCTAATAAATTGTTACGAACAATTCTTTCGCAATCAATTCAATGTCTTTCAATTTGTTGAAAGACATTTATTAGTCTAAAAGTTTAATTTAATCAAAGGCTTATTAAGTGTCATTTCTAGGATTTAATTTTTTCTTGCCCGCATGTAACGGCAATTTCATTGTCGGTAACGAGTGAAAAAGCAAGTTAAAGTAAAAATACAAAATTATAGTTTTCTTTAAAATTGAGAGTTGGATTTTTAAAGACATTACTTGTGAGAGAATGCCTACCAATGCTATTTTTATTCCTACTTATAAAATAATAAAATAAAACATTCAATTATTTTTATCATTATTTGGTAATTAATGAGTCTCTCTTTGACCATGAAAATATTTAATATTTATATTTTTCAATAATATAATTATTATTTTAAAACTTTTAATAGATAAATAAACTGAAATATTTATTTTCTACATATATAGGTAAAATAAAAAGGTAATAATATATAGATTTGACTAGGAATGTGGCTTGGGTGATATTTGTAACAAATTTGGGGTGAAGAATGATAGTTGTCTGCATTACCTAATTGTAGTGATGTCAGTAAAAATATTTGGATTTGAAAGAGAAAAGAGAGAAAGGACATGCTTTGTTCGGTGATTTATGCTGCTTTTGGATGACATTAAATAAGAGTAAAGCTATGGAGTTTCATGTGGGTGAGTACTGATGAGCGCATGGAATTAATGGTAAGTCATTTATTGCAGATTACCAACCATTTTAATGGAAAAAGGTCCTACTTCTGCCTCAATTTTAAGTCTTTGCTACGTTTTATTAATGTTGGTAAATGAAAGGGGAACAAGGTATATTAATTATCACATATACCATGATGCTCATGCACCCCTTTTCACACTACATATACATACATTTCTCAGTTCTTTCTTTTCTCTCTGTGTGTAATTTTATGATGAAAACAGCAGCATAGTGTATTTCTTTTTGTTGGGTGAATCCAAAAGAAGGTTTTGGTTTGCTTTCATACTTATGTTGTTGTTCCATTTGTTATTTTTAACTAGAAAATATACTTGTAAGTTTTTTTTTTTAATTTAATGTGCGTGCGTTAGAGTAATTTTTACATATTATTTTCAATCAAACGACGAACTAACTTATGAAGAAAAATTTAGAGAGGACTCATGTTAACAATTTTTATATAAAAAATTAAAAGTATTTTTTTGTTAGCTTTGTTAATTTTAGTTTTCAGAATTAAATTTAAGCATTTAAAAGTAGTAAGCTTTTATTGAAAAAACTACATTCATTATGTTAGAATTATAAAGTGTGATAAATATTTTATAAATAAAATTCTTCTTATTATTAATTACTTAAACTCAGCTCTAGAGGTGAAGTTAATATATTTTAAAAAATTAATAAAAATTTTAAAATAAGACGCTCACCTTAATATAAGATTTTTAATGCATTTTAATATGTTTTTCAATAAATGTTACTATTTATTTATTCATTAGCCAGTTCTCGGTAAGACCCAAGTTTTTATTACAGGCATAAAAAATATATAACCAAATGCTAACTATTGTTTTAAGGTCTCTGGTTATGACATAAAAAAATTAATAAAAATACTAATAAAATATATCTATTATGATTTGTAAGCATACAAAAGTAATAAATTTTTATTAAAAAAATACATTTATTATATTAGAGTTATAAAGTGTAATAAATATTTTTGTATTCGTTTTATTACTCTTAACTACTTAAACTCAATTCTAAAAGTCAAAGTTAATATTTTTAAAAATTTTATTAAAAGTTATAAATAAGACACTCACTTTAATCTATGATTTCAATGCATTCTATATGTTTTTCAATAAATGTTACTATTTATTTATTCATTAACTAGTTCTTAGTAAGACCCAGGTTTTTATTACATGCATAAAAAAAATATAACCAATGCTAACTGGTATTTTAAGGTAACTGATTATGACATAAAAATTGATACAAATACTATTAAATGTGTAGTTACTATGATTTTTAATGCATTTTTAAAGTGATTTTAAAAAAATCATTTTTAATTTCTCAAGTAAAACACTAGTTAATAAAACAAAAAATATAAGAAAATATATAGGAGGTATAAAAATAAATAAAGTAATATTTTATGGTTGGACCAAGCACATCCAATTTCTTCTTTTATTTGAAAGGTAATAAATAATTTAACTTGCATTATTCCTTATCTTTTAATTTTTCGAATGGATCGAAGGTGAATATTATTTTTCCTATGATTAGATATGACATGTTTCAAGCAGGTTTAAGAAACCAATAGTCGTTTCTTTTTCTTTTTGGATTGTCTAGGAATCCGACATTGCTTGATGAAACGGCAAACGTAGCTGACATTCCAAACGCAAAACTCACAAGTTTTAAAAAAAAGTGGACTCTGATCCATGAAACTAGAAACCAAGATTTGCTTTCCCTTCCTCACCAACTCTCCTTTTTGTTGAAAATTAATACTTATACAAGATAAGATCCAAGTGATCAACATGTATTAGATTAATTAATCCTTAAACTCCCAATAAATAATGTTTAATTCAGGTAATCAGAACATAGATTAAGTAAGTGGGGTGCTCTTTGATGAATCCCACAAGCAATACAAGATCTACCTTTGTTACTTTTCTTTTCTTTTCTAGTTTTTGCTTACCTCTGCGTTATATAAACATTACATACTTGTATTTACATATACACATATATTGAACCGACCCATGTATATAAAATTAAATGTACACTAAGCATTAATCTACTGTCAAAGAAAAAATGAAGAGCTTGAGAACGTAAACTATAGTTGACTTGGAACATAAACGAGAATCCAATACCATCTTCTGTGTCTTGTATTGCTTATATTCTTATCTTTGGTTGAGGTGAACAAGTAAACCAAAAAAGTTATCATTACTTATTTTTGGTCGATTATTGACTAGATTAAGTGCTTTGATTACCTAACTGATTCGCTTTCAATTTGCCTTTGGTCAATTTTATTATTATTATTATTTAAATTAAGTTATGAAGGATAGTTCTTTACGCCAATGAATATTATGCCAAACCTAAATAAAACTGCATGAAAGATAAGAGTGGCCACTTGCATGAACGTCGTACAAGAACTATAAACAATCTCAAGCTTTATTGTCATCACTGATGGTTATGTTATTGTTTTTATTTTTCATAACACTTTTGATCATGAACACAGAAAAGGATATGTTATTATATATACAAAAAGTAGTGTTTTGCCAGAAGCGGGTGTGATAACTTTTGAAACGATTAATCTCGTTTAAAAGTAATTTTTATTTTAAAAACATTCAGCTTTTGAGCCGTATATATATTTTGCTGCTGAAAAAATAAAAAAATAATATTTTTTCTCATTTTTCTTTGTCTCTTTATTTGAAGAGAATTTACTATTTTTTGAAACTATTATTATATAATTGTGTCAATTTTTTTTACGTATATTTTCTTTCTATTCTTTCACTTAATTTGATGTATTGTTACTGCCAAGCGGCAAACTACTGTTGCTTTTATTGTAAGAGTATCTGAAATCATTATTATTTTACTACATTATTTCTATGACATCTTAGTATTTTTAACATTATTTTTATGATTATTTTACTATTTTAAATTAATTTTATTTATTTGAATCTTAATTAATATTTTACATATTTATTATATTTTAGTACTTTTGATTTTTCTCACTATTTTGATTATAATTTTTGATGTAGTGAATTTTTTAATAATTTTTATTGCGTTAGATTTGAAGTTTTGAACTAAAAATTATAAATATTTGAACTTATGTCCTTAGCATTTAGGTCTAACATTTTATTTTCTTAACTTATTAGCTTAGGTTTAATTTGTAGTTGACCTCAATAAAAAGAGACATATATAATTAGAAGAATTATGATTTTTTTTTTTTACTTTCTTACTTTTTATATTTTTTGTTAATTTTTTTTTATTTTGAGTTCTTTCTTGTTCTTCTCTTCTTTTTTTTAAACTTATTTTAGCTTCTTTTTTAATGATAATTGCCTTTAAATCTACATTTATGTTTACAATTTTGATGGATGAGTAATTTCATAGGTTGATCTACAAATTTGATCTTACAAAATAATGATGTAATATTTTATATTTTAATCCAATTTGAAACTTTATTTTTACCTTCTCAATTCTATCACAAATATTTTTAATTCGGTCTCAAACCATGTTGATACGATTTTAGATAATTGACGCATATTGAATTCATTACTTGTGCGATTTTGAAATGTTCATTCAAATGGTTAAGACTTTCTATATCGGATTAAGAAGAACCGTATCAAATCAATCAAAAATACATGTTCAATCATCATTCTAGGAATTTGGATTAGGAACATGTGCTCTTTAATTTGAATTCACAGATTGGATTGAAATTGATTTCAAAACTAAATCTATTTTGTGAAGTAGAATTTGTAGGTCAATCATTTTTTATTTATTAAATTTCTTTATGTTTTAATTCTTGATTATGTTTTTACTAGCACTCAAAATTGATTTATTATTGTATTGTTAGATGTCACTTGTAACACCTCTATTTTTATTATTTATTAATTTTGTATTTTGTGTGGATTGTTAATGCATATTATTTAAAATTAGGAGAATTTT